CTTGGGCTCCACCCTCACCACCTGCTCTTTTTGCTTGTGTTACTTTGAGCAAGTGACCACATCTCTCTGACCCTCAGTTTCCCCCTCAGTAAAACGGGAATCATACCACAAAAAGAGACAATTCTGTAAAAAGCCAAATAAATGGTAGCTGCTATTGTTATTCTTTATACTCATTGTCTTAGTTATCTAGTGCTGCTATAACAGAAATACCGCAAGTGGATGGCTTTAACAAACAGAAATGTATTCCCTCACGGTTTAGGAGGCTAGAAGTCTGAATTCAGGGCACTGGCTCCAGAGGGAGACTCTGGGGGAAGGTTCTTGTCTCTTTTCAGCCTCTGTTTTCTGGTTCCTTGGCGATCTCTCATGGCATGTATCTTCCCCCATCTCTGTTCTTTTGCTGCTTGCTTGATCTGCTTTTATATCTCAAAAAAGATTGATTTAAGACACACCCTACGCTAATACTGCCTCATTAACGTAACGAAGAAAACCCATTCCCAAATGAGATTGTAACCACAGGTATAAATCCAAAACAAAACCTGTTGCCATTGAATCAACCCCTACAGGGTTTCCAAGGCTGAAATCTTTACAGAAGCAGACTGCCGCATCTTTCTCCCATGGAGTGGCTGGTGAGTTTGAACCACTGACCTTTCAGTTAGCAGCCAAGCACTTAACCACTGTGCCCCCAGGGCTCCAACCACAAGTATAAGTGTTAGGATTTATGTGGTTTAGTGAATTACTTAATATGGTCCTTCTAACTATAGTCTTGGTAATTCCCACCAAACGACTGGGTGGAACTATGCAGGTGATGCACTTGCGGCCCACCGCGGGGATTGGATAGTTTGCTAATAACGTAAATAAGATGCATGGCACCCTTGTGGGGGTGGGACCATGCAAATAGGGTGTATGGAACTCTAACAAGGGGATTGGTCAGTTTTGCCATCCTGCTAGGCTTAAAATGAGCCATCCCAGAGGCAGGAAGAGAGGATCTCACCACCACCAAGAATAAAGAGCCGGGAGTGGAGAGTGTCCTTTGGACCCAGGATCCTTGTGATAAGAAGCTTCTAGAACCAGGAACCAGGAGACAGAAAGAGAGAAAGAAAGGGCTGTATTAATGAAGACTGTGAGAAGCAACGACAGAGAAACGGCAGCAACAGAGGTAGCAGAAGCAGAAGACCAGCAGGAGACTGGCGGGAGATGGCACAGTGGGCTTCCCAGCCCACAGAGCAAAAAAGCTGAGTGCCTCTGGGCCGAGGCTTGCTGGCAGAGTAGGGTGCCTCTGGGCACTTATTAGCACAGCTAAAAGAGCCCGAGCAGGACAGAGGCCGGACTGAGGGACTGAGAGGCCAAGGGAGCAGGGCAGAGGCCAGACCAAGGGACTGAGAGGCCGAGGGCCAGAGACCTGCCTGTGGCATGGCTGAGAAGAGGGTGTCCTGATCAAAGAACTGTATCCTGAGTCGTTTCTAATCCAGAATTGTAATCTGTTACTTCCCTAATAAACCCCATAATCGTGAGTATGGTCTGTGAGCTCTGTGTGGCCATTGCAACAAATTATCAAACCCAGCAGAGAAGTAGAGTGCGTGGGAGGGATGACCCCCAACAGAATTGGTAAAAAACGTTTGGAGAGAGGAGGCGTGTCTGACTTACATCTCACAGGAATCAGGCTTGGGCTGTTGATCTTGACTCTCCTTCCCCCTTGTGAAGTTAGACGAGGAGGTCAGACACTCCTGCCATGCCATTTTTACAGTTTATAACACATATTTTGGGGGGACACAATTCAATCCATAACATTCATTACCTTTATCATCATTTCTATTAAGAGAACACACTCTCTCAACGAACTTAAAAATAATGTCAAGGTGAAAGCAACCCAAAAAGGGTGGTGGGTGGTTCAGACCATAAGCTGCAGTGAAGGGTTATCAAGCTGTTGGGATCTCTGGGCCGTCCCTGCCTTGGGGTGGGGTTGCCAGTTCCTCGTCTCCTTTCTTGTTGTAAGCGGACCTGAAACTCCCTAACAACAGCCCCTGCCTGGGGTGGATGACTTCCTTCTGCACAGGGCGTTTTCGCAGACGAGGCAACCCAAGACCCTAGTCTGCGAGCTTCGCATCCCTGAGCTGTGTGTGGGCGGGCAGCTCAGGCGGGGTTGGGCTGAGTGGGCTAACTGCACAGAGCTTCCCATACTAGGCTGTGTCCAAGCAGCTGTCTTCTGACGTGTTCCTGTCTCCGGGCCAGAGTGGAAGGCCTGAGGGCAGAGCCATGCTATGTACAGGACTCTGGTACCATCCCTTACTAACTGGGGGACTTTAGTCAAGTCACTTCCCCTCTCTGAGCCTCCTTTTCCTCATCTGTAAGATGGGGATGATAGTAGCACCAAACCCTAGGGAGGCTGTGAGGATTAACTGAGATCATCCACGTGAGGCCCCAAGAACATTCTTCAGTACAGAGGAAGTTAAAATGAATGAACCATGAAGAAGAGGCCCAGGAAGAGAGTGGGTAAGAGAAGCAGGTTTATGATTTATCAAGCTGGGCAGCAGACCCTTCATTTTCAATCTGTTGCCAATCTAGGGGGTAAGGTAAGCAGTGCAGGCGGTGGGACTGACACATGGTGCCCAGGACCCTCTGCAGCCCCTCAGAGGTTCGGTGGACAGCTAACTCGGAGGAGGTAGCCCAGCTGCCAGGAGGTAGCTCTTCAGGCTTCTTCACGGGGGCAGCACTGCAGCCACAGTGATGCCTTTACCCAGAGGGAGGCGATCAAGGACAGCATTAGGGCACAGCCACTAGGGGGCAGAGGAGGTTGAGCAGAGGGGCAGCTGTCCTGCATGACTGCAGCCCCACCATTACAACAGCTCCCTCCTGTGCCCTGGGCCATGGGGGGTGGAAGGCAGGACCCACAAAGTTTTGAGGACAACTTCCTCTCAGCACCCAGCATGGAATCTCCATGCAGAGGACTCTCTGGAATGAAATCAACATTCACCAAGCGCTGCACCTACTGTGGCCTGGCTCGTTTCAAACTTCATGTTCAGGGCCTGTGTCTTGCCCTCCATAGGGTTGTGTGAGCTACTGGAGGAGTGATCTCTCAGGCCATCGGGCCGGGGAGCTGAGCTGGGAGGCCAGAGATCCAGCTTCAAGTCCCAGCTTTGCCACGGAGTAGCCGTCTGACCCTGGACAAGTCCCTTCCCCTCTCTGAGATAATAATTCCTTTCTCTGAGTGTCTGGCACACAGTAGGCACTCAATAAATGTGTGCTTCCTTGCTCTCTGGGTTTCAGTCTCCCCACTTGTCAAAGCAGAGGATCGGGTCCTAAGAGTCTGGTACAACCTGCCATATTCCTCTGGTAACCCCACTGTCTTAGTCAGTCAGTGCTGCTCTAACAGAAATACCACAAGTGGATGGCTTTAACAAAGAGAAGTTTATTTTCTCACAGTCGAGTAGGCTACAAGTCCAAATTCAGGGCATCAGCTCCAGGAGACGGCTTTCTCTCTCTGTCAGCTCTAGAGGAAGGTCCTTGTGATGTCAGTCTTCCCTTGGTCTGGGAGCATCTCAGTGCAGGAACCTCGGGTCCAAAGGACGTGCTCTGCTCCTGGCACTGCGTTCTTGGTGGCATGAGGTCCCCAACTCTCTGCTTGCTTCCCTTTCAACTCTTGTAAGATAAAAGGTGGTGCAGGCATACCCCAGGGAAACTCTCTTTACATTGGATCAGGGATGTGACCTTAGCAAGGGTGTTATACAATCCCATCCTAATTCTCTTTAACGTAAAATTACAATTACAAAATGGAGGACAACCACACAATACTGGGAATCATGGCCCAGCCAAATTGATAAACACATTTTTTGGGGGGACATAATTCAATCCATGACACCCACACATTGGCCAGTTCTGGGGTCACCTCCTCCGGGAAGCTGTCCCCGATTCCCTACACTGGAGGAGTCAGCCCTGGGCTCCTGCAGCCCCCTGTGCTTCCCACTGTCAGAGGCATCATCCCCAGGTCTGCAGTGATTGATGACCTGTGAGACCTTGAGGGGAAGGGCAGCAGCTGTGTCTGCAGCACCCAGTACAGGACCTGAGAGGAGAAAAAAAAGGGGGGGGGGATCTAGGCACACAGCCCGTTACTAAAAATCCCCTTCGGGTGCTCTTTTACTGAATGCCTTCACATCCACGTAGAGGATGTGTTATTTCACCCCCATTTCATACTAAGAGCCCCGGTGGCGCAGTGTTTAGAGCGTTTGGCCGCTAACCAAAAGATCTGGCAGTTCGAAACCAACAGCCACTCCACGGAAACCCTATGGGGCAGTTCTGCTCTGTCCTACAGAGTCACTATGAGTTGGAATTGAGTCAATGGCAATGGGTATTCCATACTTGGGGAAACTGAGGCACAGAGAGAAATCGCTTGCATAGTATGTACCATGTTCTACACACTTTACATAAATCACTTATTTCTCACAATCATGGTTCTCAAAGTTTGGTCCGTGGACCAGCACATTAGCATCTCCTGAGAACTTGCTAGAAATGCAAAATCTCAGGCTCACCCCAGACCTGCAGAATCTGAAAGTTTGGGGGTGGAGTCCAGCAATCTGTTCTTTAACAAGCGTTCCAGGGGATTCTGATGCTCGCCAAAGTTTGAGAACCATTGCCTTACGACAACCCTACAAAGTCACTATAATTATCCCATTTTACAAAGGGGACAACTGAGGCATAGCGAAGGTAATTGGTTCAGGACTACACAGCTGTAAGTGGAGTACCAGGATTCGAAGCCTGGCAGTTTGCCTTCAGAGAAACGCTCTTGCAAACCACCAGTGAGTTTACATCACAATCGAAAGTAGAATCAGCTTTCTTTGGCCATTCACTAATAACTCCATATTGAGCCCCTACTTAAAGTCAAGCACCTCGTAGGTGCTGGGGCCAAGGGGCCTTGCTCTCACGGAAACTAGTCCGGGGAAGAGGTGGGATAGAGCCTCCCGGAGTGGGTAGAGATCGGCACGTTACACACAGAAAGGGGTCAGGCTGGGCGGTCCCTTTAAAGGGTGGGGCCTGGCGGCGGAACTGTGGAGCATCGCCGAGAGGCGCGACGAGGAGGCTAAAGCGCTGCACCCGGAAGTAGTTTTCGCCAGCGGGAGCTGTGCCGCCGGAGGCCTTCCCGCTATGGGCCGCAACAAGAAGAAGAAGCGAGATGGCGATGATCGGCGGCCTCGGCTCGTTCTCAGCTTCGACGAGGATAAGAGGCGGTGAGTGGAAAGGCCGGTCGAAATTCCTGTCAGGCCGACCGGCAAGACTAAGGCCAGGTCCGGGCCGCTCACGCCCACGCGGAGGGCCTTTCCGGCCCCGCCCCTGAGCACGCTTGGAACTCCTCTTCGACTTCCATCCCGCGGAATGGAAGCGTCCGCTTTCGTACCCCAGCCCTGTGGAATGGAATCGCTAGTCCCCGCCCTGGCTCCACTCTTCTTGGCGTCCCCCCACGCGCTCAGCGCCTACTGTTTGCCCGGCGAGCTGGCTACTCGGGGTTGGCTTCGACCTCCATAGCCCAGCCCAGGGTCCTAGCGCGTTGTAGGCTTTTAGCCGTTGTTGATGAATGAAGAATGAAACGAGAGTGGCTTACGTTCATTCATTCATTCATCAAACGTTTATTGTGCTTTTGCAGTGTGCCGGGCCTCGGGCCACGGAGCAGAACTTCTGAGCTTTAGTGTCCGGTCCATTAAATGGGGGGACTCGGTGCCGCCTCGGCACATGGTAGTAGATCAGCAAAAAGCCCCAGTGCTGGGCGCAGGAACTGCTGGGAACTGACGCTAGGGGGATGAAGGGGGCCACATGTCACATAACCCCAGTTGCAGTCCAGTGCCTTCCAACTCATGGCGACACAGTGGATGTCAGAGTAAACTGTGCTCCATAGGGTTTTCAGTGGCTAATTTTTTTGGAAGTAGATCTCCAAGCTGTTCATCCGAGGCGCCTCTGTGTGGACTTGAGCCTCTAAGCTTTCAGTTAGCAGCCAAGCACATTAACCATTTGCACTACCCAGCGACTTCAGATATAAGTTAAAAACAAAAACAAAAAAACTCATTGCAATGGAGTTGATTCTGAGTCACAGCGACTCTATAGGAGTAGAACTGCTCCATAAGGTTTCGAAGGCTGTAACCTTTACAGAAGCAGGCTGCCACATCTTTTTCTTGTCGTGCGGCTAGTAGGTTCGAGCAGCCAAGCGCTTAACCACAGCGCCACAAGGGCTCCTTAAGATATCAGATAGGGGGAGGGAGATGCTGAGACATCGTCAGGAAGCCCCCAGGGCATCAACAGGCCCTACAGGTGGGACAAGGTTGCGGGTGACCTGGGCAAATGAGGTGTTGAGCCAGTGGAGGGTTTGTGGAGGTCTGGGAGAGAGTGGCCTTGAAGGCCCTGCTAGTAATTTAATTCACTGGGTAATGGAGCTGTGGAAATGCCCTCTACCTATTTTGTGTGTCCCCATACCTTATGCCCACCACCTGGCCCAGTTGCTTGATGCTGAGAGCCCTGGAGGGTATTGAGTGGAAAGAGGTAGCATCTCCGTCTTTCTCCTGACCTTACACTGTCTGTGATCTTGGACAAGTAACCTAGCCTCTCTGTGCCTCAGTGTCCCCATCTGTAAAATGGGGAGTAGCACTCAGCAACTCACCAAAAGGTCGATGGTTCGAACCCACTAGTGGTTCCACAGGAGAAAAGACCTGGCGATGTGCTCCTGTAAAGATTACAGCCTTGGAAACCCTATGGGACCGGTTCTACTCTGTCCTGTAGGATCGCTATGAGTCCGAATCGACTCACAGCACCTAACGATAGCTACTACACAGTGTCTTGTGAGGATTACATGAGTTAATACTTGTAAATTTTTGGAATGGTGCCTGGCACGTAGTGAGCACAGTGTTAACTACTTTTCCTTTCCTGGAGTGAGCTCGTCTTTCCTTGCAGCCCCTGCTGACTGGCCCTGCCTCCTTCCCACAGGGAGTACCTGACAGGCTTCCACAAGCGGAAGGTGGAGCGGAAGAAGGCAGCCATTGAGGAGCTCAAACAGCGGCTGAAGGAAGAGCAGAAGAAGCTCCGGGAGGAGGTGCAGAGGGAGAGGGCAGGAGGCAGTCTCTTTGTGCAGCTGAGGGGCAAGGGGGGTGTTGGCAGGATTGGGGAGCAGTTTGTCCAGGTGGAGAGACAGCTGGGGCTTAGGATGGGATCTCCTCCTGGTCTTGCCGTCTGAGCCGTGGTCACACTCCCCCGGAGGTGAGCAATGCCCCTGCCTGGGGTTGGGCTGAGAGGCCATACTCACTGTGTTCCCTTCCCTTTGGTTTCAGCGCCACCAGGAGTACTTAAAGATGCTGGCAGAGAGAGAGGAAGCTCTGGGTAAGTCCCATCCTTGACCCAACACGAAGAGCCAGCAGGCATGAGTTTATCCATCCTTTGTGGTGAGGGGGCTGCGCAGAGGCCGACTGCCCCAGCTCTGGGGGTCTTAGTCGTGACCTGGGGTCCTAGGAGATTCTCAGGCACCTCTGAAGTATGAGAGGATCAGAGACCAGGAGGAGACCGAAATCTCTAAGTAAACTGATTGTGAGCAGAAGGCTCAGTTTCTGGGGCCTGCGGGGGCTGGGAGTGAGAGCTCCAGTGTTACACAGGGTCTGTCCAAGGCGGGGACCTGGCGGTATGAGGTCCCCAGTGGTCTGAAGTCCCCCTGGAGCATGAAGGGAGGAGCGGCTCTTTTATGTTCAGCCACAGGCCAGGCTCTGGGACCTGTTTCTTCACTGATGCCCTCCCCTAGAGCGGCGGGGCCCTCATACTCCACGGCAGGGAGGGGGGCTGGAGCATCGCTGCTTGTGCCCTGGGGCTGATGCCCAGGTCTGTGCTCACCCAACACAGATGAGGCAGATGAGCTGGACCAGCTGGTAACGGCAAAAACAGAGTCAGTGCAGTACGACCATCCCAACCACACGGTCACCGTGACCACCGTCAGCGACCTGGACCTCTCGGGAGCCCGGCTGCTCGGGCTGCCTCCGCCTGAGGTGGGTCCCAGTCCCAGCAGAGGGGATGCTGGCCTGTTGGGGGTCTACTGAGTGCTGGTCCATGGCTTGGGGATTCCAGCACAAGAGGCTAACCCCTGCTGGGCCCTCTTCAGGGCCTGGGCAAAATCCAGGTGGCTTCCGAGGCTGGCTCTACCACGAGTGGCTGCGGGGGGCTGGACAAGCGTCAGTACAGTGGGGGTTGTTGATCGTAGCACCTGCCTCATGGGGCTGCTGTGAGGATAAAAGCACTTAATCCACGTAAAGCACTTAGCACAGTGCCCAGCCTGTAGTAAGACTCAACAAAAGGTAGCTTCGCTTGTCATGCTTTCCCTCGCATGATAATCAGCGATAACGTGGCGCTAATAGTGAGTTTCAACCTGTGGGCTGTGATTCATCAGCAGGTAGCAATCAGCACTTTAAAAAACGTGAAGTAGAAGAGAATGTAGTTGGAAATGTCAGAAAGCACCACAGGTATTGTTTCATGAAACATTTGTTTTAGTTAAAGTCATGTTGGTTTGGTTTGTGTGGGAATTTATATACGCGTATATACACAGTTAAGGAGCCCTGGTTGCACAGTGGTTAAGCACTTGGCTGCTAACCAGGAGGTCAGTGGTTCGAACCCACCAGTGGCCCCATGGGAGAACAGACCTGATAATCTACTCCCATAAAGATTATAGCCTAGGAAACCCTATGGGGCAGTTGTACTTTGTCGTATAGGGTCAGTGTGAGTCAGAATCCACTCGCCAGCACATAGCAACAACAATACACACAGTTGTAAGGTCAAGCACATTTCTCCTAGTGGGTTACAGTTTCCAAAGTCCCGAAGCCACTGCTTTGTCACATCCTGAGTGGTTTCACACTCATCACCTGTGTTGCGCTCGTTCTTCCGTGAGGTCTGATGCAAAGAGGAACCTTGTCCCATTGTACCAGTTCTCTCGTGCATGTTTGGGTGCCAACTACGAGCTGTGGCAGTGGAGGATTTTGAAACACAGCGCTCCCCTGTGTCATCCCTGCTTTGGGGTGTACGCGGTGTTTTTCTTCCTGAGACCATTTCGGAGCCCTGCCCCAGGCCTGTGAGGTGACAAGTCACATTCCTAGTGCCAGAGGTGTGATTGTTTGGGGTGCCCGCCCAGGCCTCCGATCGTCCACTCTGGAACAGTCCTTTCTCCTGTGATTCTTTAGCAAGGGGCTGGGGCCGAGGAGGAGGAGGTGTCACCCGTGGAGAAGCCAACCAAAGCCTTACCCAGGAAGTCCAAGGACCCCCTGCTGTCCCAGCGGTGAGCCCTGCCTGCCCTCTCCTGTGGTCCCCTCCTCATGGCTGGCATTGGTGACTGGGCCTGTGGAGCCATCTCCCACTGGCCCATGGAGGGTGGCATGGGGCAGGTGTGGGAGCCAGAGTAGCCCTGTGGTCTGCCTCGAGTGGTCCTCAGCCTCTCCTCACTGTCCTTTCTCCTCTGAGGATGTCCGCCCCTGGGTGCCCTTGGCACCTGGGTTAAGGGCCTTTCTGTTGTTGAGTTGAGGAGCTGGCAGGCCCACTGGGGTCAGAGCAGGTCAGGCCGACTTGGGGTGATTTTGGCGCCGCAGCATCCGAGCCCTGTCATGACTTCCCCTCCCTGGCTGTCAGTCACCCCCAACCTAGCCTCCCTCCACCGCCCTGCTCCCCAGGGTGAACTGAGGCCCTGGCCTCACCGGCCTTCCACCCTCCCACAGGATCTCCTCCCTCACAGCATCGCTGCACGCACACAGCCGCAAAAAAGTCAAGAGGAAACACCCCCGACGGGCTCAGGACTCGGCCAAGAAGCCCCCAAGTGCCACTCGCACCAGCAAGAGCCAGCGCCGCCGGCTGACAGGTAGAGCCCGACACGGCAGGGACTAAGCCCGAGAACCCAGCCATGCCCAGGCTTCTGCTGCCGGGACCTGTCTTGTCTCACCTTGGCTCTCCCAGATGGTGACTCAACGGCCCAAGGGTGGGATGCCAGGACCCCTCCAGTGGGGGCTGCTCCTGCCTGAGGACCACCTTCAAAGCCAAGCTTGGGGCTCTCCCAGGTGTCTCCTCCTCCCCCAGCACTCATCAGGTTGTGAAGCTATATGCACTTGTGGTTTTTTCACCCCTGGCCTTGCTTCTGAGCCAGGGGCAGGCTGCTGGGGTGGTAGAAATGGTTAGGGGGTAGTGGGTCCTTCCTCATTCTCCAGCAGTTTTCCCTGTGGTATAAGTGTAACCATTGGTAGAAGCCGGAGCCTACCTGCTCGTCCAAGAAGCAGGCACTGGGGCAGGGTGGGTGGCAGTGAGCAGTGCCCTCAGCTGGCTGAGACTCTGGGCCTGTCCCTTCTCCTTGGTCTTGTCAGTTTCCTCAGCTGAATTGAAGGGGCAGAAGCAGGTGAGTTCTGGAGCCCTCCCCAGCCCCAAATCGCAGTTTCCCTAGGCTTCCAGAAGCTCCCAGGTGGAGCCCAACAAATAAGGGGTGGTTCATCTGTCTTTTCTAAAGAAAATGCATTTTGGCTCGTGTAAAAGTGTAGCTTTCAGGGCAGACCTGTCAGGAGCCAGCTAGAGTTCTGGCAAAGGCCTTCATTGCTCTACATGCCTTTTAGATCTTCATGTGTGGCTCCAGAGCTGATGAAAATCAGCCTGATCCCTTCCTTGTCCCAGCTTGTGAGATCCCACCTCACTCTGCCCTGCCTCACTTACACACCCCGCTGTTCCCCTGACTGAGCAGGGCCGTGGGCAGAATCCAGGCCCACCTGCACAGGTGGAGACTCAGTGCCAGTGAGGGCAGCCAGAGCTTCTGTTTGTCCCGGAGCACTGTCAGATCCCCCCTTGCCACTTGCTGGCTCCTTTGTGATCGTGGAGTGGGAACCGCAGGAACTTCGGGTTGTGCCCTAGGTAGGGGAGCTGGGTTGGACCCTAAACACTAGGGCTGCAAAGGGGAGTAGCATGTTGTCTCTGCCCTGGGTAAAGCTCACAGACACAAGAGAGGCGGACAGGCCGATGGGACAGAGCATGTGATGGGGGAGGGAGCCGAGGTGCAGGTTCCACCCCAGCCAGGGAAGTGAGAGGGCTCCTGGGGGAGAGGGAGAGGAAGCCTGGGAGGCAGGGCAGGCCTCCTGCACTCCATGGAGGGCCTGCCAGGAGCACCCCGCCCAACCACTGGGCAGGCTTCAGAAGCGTGGCTCAGCTAGGCTGCGCCAGGGGCTGGACAGGCTGTCTCCCATGTCACCCTCAAAACTTACCATCTGGTAATGGCTGGTGCCCATCTGAAGGCCACGCCCGGACATGGGAATGCGAAGCCCAGGGCTTGTGGCTAGGACCTACCCATTGGCCTGGCCTCTCAGCTCCCTCCACCTGTTCTTCCTGCTGCCCGCTGCCCTCCTTTCCTGTGCTTAGGGTGGGGCAACTCGCCCCGCTTGGCTGCCTCCATGCCTGACAGAGGGTGAGGTCTGAGGCTGGGCTCTTCGGGTGGTTCTGGAACTCAGCCCAGTGTATCGCGTGTGGGCCTTGCCCACCCAGACCTCAGTGAGCAGGAGCAGGGCCGAGCCCTGGGATTAGCGAACACAGCGGGCCTTGAATCTGGGCTTGCCACGTCCAATGGGCGAGCGCCTCACAGTGCTGACCTCTGGGTCTGATTTCTCACGTGTAAGTCGACATAGGATACCTGCCTCTTAGGGTTGCCCTGAGACTCAAACGAGACCCCAGATATGAACTTCCCGTAGTGCTGGCACTCCCTGGGCGTGCCTTCAGCGGGTGCTCACAGCTGCTGCCGTCACCTCACGTCTGACCCGGGTCGCTTCACCCATCTCCAATGATATGGGGTCATTTACAACTTATATTCACAATATGTAATGTTTACAAGTATTAAATTCTCATCCACTCCCTCCTGTGTATGCTGTCAGTTCTTCCAGCAAACCAGGGAGATTGAGTCACAGTGATTTGGCCAATCCTAGGATCAGGAGCAGAGGAATCAACTCCCTGGAGAACCAACATCAAAGTCGACCACTCGTGGCTAATAAGACATGGTCCTCATGTCTCCTGGAGGAGTCAGACACGTGGAGGTCAGGGGCTTAAAGTGTTAGAGGTCAGACATCTATCCAAGTCCAAAGGGGCACAGAGCTGGGAGAAGGGCGTTGAAGAAGGCTTCACCACCTCTCAGCTGGAGCTGGGATTTAAACTGAGTGACCTCTGGCTGTACACATGAACATCCCCGGAGAAGGATCCAGAGGGTAGAAGTGCCCAGACCACACCCCAGACACAAGCATTAACCCTGCCAGACTGGATGAACAAGCCCAAGGAAACTGAGGCACTGGGATCAGAGTATGACCTCCAGGGGGCGCCACTCACATGGTGTACAATATGAAAGGCGCCCCAGGAGCCTTGCAAGTCCTGCAGAAGACGCCAGCAGAGTGAGCCCTTAAGGCTGGGGAGGCCCGAGAGGTCTTCCTGGAGGGGGTGGCATCTGAGCCAGCACTAGGGAGTGAACACTTTTGATGACCGTTTTAGAGGTACTCCGCATAGAGTAGAGAAGGCCTGAAGATGAGTTTGGCTTGATTCAAACTGTTTAAAAATCATTTGACTTAGTTGCAGTATTAAAAATAATTTGACTTAGTTGCAGTATTAAAAAAAAATCTTGAGATTTCATATCAAAGTTCAGATTTCTGGCTTCTCTAGAAAAAAGGCAGATCTATCCTCATTGGGTCACCACTTCACAAGGTAGGGTAGGCGGAGCCAGCCAGCTGCCTCCTTCAGAGACTGAGCCCTTGGCCCCTGCTCCCTCCCGCCCAGAACATCTGACTCTCCAACAGGCCTGTGGGTGGGGTGAGTGACTTGCCTGTGGGGTAGACTTACTGAGCAGTGAGACCGCACCTATCAGCAATCCTTTTCCCCCAGATCTCTGAAGAGGGGTGTCCCAGCCAGGGGCACAGCATGAGCGAAGGTGTGGAGGTGAATAAGCATGGAATCCTCAGGAGGCAGGACGGGGGTGAGGCTGGGACTAACGGTGATAAGTGGTGACTGCCCTGGCTGCCACCGTCACACCCCTAGTCCTCCAGCATCACACTGTCATCAAGTAACTGGGTGGCTTTGGGCAACTTGCTTGAGCTTTGAGTTTCCCTTCCATTACGTGGGGATAATGACAGCTGCCCTTCACTACATCACACACTAATGCACATGCAGGGAGGGCCACCTGGTCCTCTCAGGAAAAAGAGGGGCTGTGAGTACTAAGAGCCACTTGTCTGGCCTCAACCACCTCACTACCACCATCCCCCCAAGAACGAGGGTGGGCTTCTTCCAACAATCACCTTTGCTCTTCCCTAACACACCTTTGGCTGCTCCCCTTGACAGATGAGAAAACGGAGTCTCCAGAAGTTACACCCCTCCTCACCCATTGCCTTCCAGTTGATTGCAACTCCTCGTGATCCTGTAGGACAAAGTGAAACTGCCCCCATAGGGTTCCCTAGGTTGTAATCTACAAGAGCAGATGGCCAGGTCTTTCTCCTGTGGAGCAGCTGGTGGGTTTGAACCGCCGACCTTTCGGTTAGCAGCCGAGTGCTTAAACACTGTGCCACCAGGGCTCCTTCAGAATGGTTAAGCAACATCAAAAGTCAACCTCGTGGCTAAGACACAGTCTTCACATCTCATGGAGGAGACAGTCACGTGAAGGTCCCTTGGTGGTCGGGTTTAATAACCCCTCCTTTCTCTTCCAATTCTCTCTCCTTCCAGGATGTAGTCTGCTGCCCACCCACCGTCTTCCCATGCTGTTGAGGGGCCCCAACTCATCTCCAGAGCTAGGGAGAGCACTCAGGACCACCCACCAACCTGGCTCCGTTAACTTTTAACTCTTCCCCTCGAGCCTCACTCCATTCCAGCCGCTTGGTCTCTGTGTTTCTCAAACACACTAGGTGGGCTCCTGCCTCAGGGTGCCTGCATTTGCTGTTCCTGCTGCCCAAAACACTCTTCCTCCCTCGGGGATCTGCAGGCTCACTCCCTTGGCTCCTTCAGGCTTTTGCTGAAATGTCACCATCTCAGTGAAGCTTTTCCTGCCCTGATTTAAAATTTAACACTCCCCCTTCCAATTCTTTGCTTCATTTTTCTACGTAGCACCTATCACCAGCCAGCACACTCCATATTTAGCATATTTCTCCTGTTTGGGGTCTTTTCTTTCCACTTATGAGAATGTAAGCACCATGAAAGGTTTTGTTCACTGATGTCTCCTCAACACGCACAACTGATCAAGTAGGGGCCCATAAATATTTGATGGATTGGATTTTCCAGAGTGCCACCCTGAGGCAGCTCCAGGTTTTACCGATTGGTCAGAGGTAGGGGTAGGGGGTGGAGCCATACCCTGTGCTCCAAACTCAAACTGAGCTCCCACCCCACCCCAGCCCTGTCTCTGGGACAGGCTCTGGCTCCACTTAGGTTCTATCTTATCCAAGCTTCATAATACTCCTATGGGTATGTGTGGTTCAGTGAATTACTTCATAGAGCTCTTCTACCATAGTCTTGCAGAGGTCAGCGAAAAAGGAAGACTCTCAAAGAGATGGATTGACACAGTGGCTGCAATAATGGGCTCAAGCATAGCAACTATTCTGAGGATGGCGCAGGACCCGGCAGTGTTTAGTTTTGTTGTACATATGGTCGCTATGAGTTGGAACTGACTCGATGGCACCTAGCAACATAACACACACAATGACTGGGTGGGACTATGCAAAGAAGATACTTGTGGCCCACCAAAGGGATTGCTAATAATGTAAATAAGGTGCATGGCACCCTTGTGGGGGTGGGGCCATGCAAATAAGGTGTATGGAACCCTAAGGAGGGGATCGGTCAGTATTCCCATCCACTAGCCATCCACTAGGCTTAAAAGAACCAATCGTAGAGCAGAGGGGGTACCTGACTACCACCAAGAAAGAAGTGGTAGGAGTGGAGCATGTTCTTTGGACCCAGGATCCCTGCACTGAGAACTTCCTAGACCCAGGAGACAGAGAGAGAGAGCTGTAACCTGAGAGACGGTGAGAAGCAGCAGCAGGAAAAAGGTGGCAGCAGAGGCAGCAGAACCAGGAGACCAGCAGGAGATTGCAGGATGGGCTATCCGGCCCATGGAGGGAGAAAGCTGAGTGACTTCAGGCAGGTGGCTTGCTGGTGGAGTGGGGTGCCCTGGGGCACTTATTGGTAGAGCTAAAGAGCTTTGTAACACTTGCCCAAGCAGGCAGAGGCTGAGCCAAGGGGCCGAGGGCCAGGGAGAGGCCTGCCTGCGGTATGGCTGAGAAGAGCTGTCCTGATGGAAGAACTGTATCCTGAGTTGTTCCTGGTCCTGAATTGTAACCTCTTACTTCCCTAATAAACCCTGTAACTGTGGGTAGAGTCTATGAGTTCTGTGTGGCCATTGCAACAAATTATCGAACCCAGTAGAGAAGTAGAGAGTGCAGTGGGAGGGACAGTTGGTGTTAGAATCAGTAAAAAACTTGGAGAGAGGAGGTATGTCTGACCTCCGCCTTAGAGGAATCAGCCTCGGGCTATTATGCTGATAATGATTCTCCTTCCCCCTTGTGAAGTTAGAGGAGGTCAAGACATCTCCGCATGCCATTTTTACAGTATGTATGTTATTATCCCTCCTTTACTGTAAAACTCACAGCTATGAGTTGGAATCGACTGTACGGCAACGGGTTTGGTTCGAGGTTTTACTGTAAAATAGTAGTAGTAGTAGCGTCAGAACCTGCCTAACTTCAGGAGGGATAATGAGAATCACCATTAGCACAAAGCTGATCCCTATGAGGTGGAGGTCAGATATACTCCACTCTCCAACCTTTTTACCAATTCTGATACCAGCCATACCTTTCACAGCACACTCTACTTCTCTTCTGAGTTTGATAACCTGTTGCAGTTAAGTGGTTTATTAAGGAAGTAACGGGGTACAATTTAAGATTAGGATCAAGAAGCGTGCAGGCAAAGTCTGGAAGGCTCCCCCAAAGTGGAGAGCACATCCCTCTCTCCTTCAGTGCAGGACAGCTCTCTCAGCTCCTCTTGGCCATGCAAGCAAGCAGGCCCTTCTCTCTGCCATGCACGCCCCCTCTCAGCCATGCAGGCTTCCTCTTGAGCCTCTAAGGACAGGTTCCTCTTGGCCCTGCTACCTGTCACTGCCAACTCTACCTCGGGGCCCCTTCCAGGCCTGTCATCACCTTCAGTGTTATAACCCTTGACCCGTGTTACAGCTCTTTTAGGAGGCTCCTTTCCTCTTTTCTTTTTTTTTTTTTATATTTTATTGTACTTCAGGTGATGGCTTACAGAACAAATAGTTTCTCATGAAACAGTAGTACACATGTTGTTTTATGACATTGGTTAACAACCCCACAACATATTAACCCTCTAA